AGATTTCGTCGTGCCCCGCCTTTGCGGCGGCCGAGGTGAGCCAATTCATCGACTTGAGGACCGTGTCCGCCGCCTTGGAGACGGCGTCGTCCGCGGCGTCGGCGTCGGCCGAGGACGCCTCGCCCGGAGGCTTGCCCACGGCCGCGGACGCCTAGAGGACACGCCCCGCGGGACACGTCACGGACATGTCCCGGTTGGGTCGTCCGTGCCCGGCGGCGAGGCCTGCTCGAGCTTGAGCATGTAGGCGCGCAGGCAGCCGAGCGCGGTCTCGCGCACCTGCCGGTGTGCAGCGGGAGCGTGAGGGCAGCGCATCACGCTGCGGCACGCTGCGGCAGCTCTCGACGGCCATGCGCCCTCGAGAGTACAGTGGGGGGGCCGTGGCGGCGGATTCGAGCGGCAAGGCGGCAAGGTGAACGAGTGCAGCGCTGTGGGCTGCGTCGGCGAGGCTCGCGCACCCCTCCTCCTTTGGCCGAGCGCCACCGGCGAATCTCGGCGAATCTCGGCGGGTCTCGGCGGGTCTCGGCGGTCTGGGCGAGTCCGGGGCGAGTCCGCACCTCTCGCTCCGGGTCAAGCACCATCGGCGCGACGGCGGCGAGGACGCGCGTCGCGGCGTCGATGGGCTTGTAGTACTGCTGCGTCGCCGAGAAGGAGAGGAGGCCGGCGTTGCGGCCGGGCGGGAAGGGGTCCTTGAGGGATCGCGTGAAGGCGGGGATGAGGACGCGCTCCCTCTCACTCGCGTCGAGGTGGACGGCGATCTTGCCTGCGACCGAGAGGCGCCGAGAGATGTCGCCGAGGTCGCTCCGAGCTAGTCGCCGCGGGGGAGGGAGGGGGGGGGGGGAGGGGTTGCTCGCCGAGGCAGATGGTCGTGTTGGTTCGGATGGCAGCCTCCTCGTCGAGCTGCAGCTTGGCGAAGGCGCGCATCACCTTGCGGGCACGCGGTGTGTGTGCGCCTCTCGCCCCCTTGTCGGCTAGTGGTGGCGGTAGGCTGTGCGCCTGCCCCATGTTGCCGCGAGAGAGCTTCGGCGCGAGGGCGACCATCGACTTGACCTGCTCCCGGGAGGAGGTGGTGAGAAGAGACTTGGCAACCGTCGACTTGGCGACCATCGGCTTGACCGTGAGCTCGCGCAGCACGGGCGACGTGTCTGCGAAGCCGAGCGAGACGTGGCCTAAGGAGGGGTGGAGCGAGGCCTCGTCGCGGGGTGGGTAGACGTGTCTGCGACGTGTCTGCGAGGCGAGGCCGAAGACGGTCTCGTTGATGACGCGCGCCGACAGGTGCTCCATCAGCGCGGGCAGGGTCTGCAGCAGCGGGATGCGCATCGAGCGGTCCGTGTTCGCGAAGAGCTTGACAACGGTGGGCACGACCTGGGACGGCGTGAGGAGGTGAGAGAAGGGGTCGTCCGTGGTCGCGACGAGGCGGGGCCACGGCAGGGAGGTTGCCTGTGACTGCATGTCCTCCTCCGACAGGCCGTCCTTGGCGATCCGCAGCAGCGGCTCGAGCGCCTGGCAGCAACAAGTCGTGCCGTCGGTGCGAGGCCCTCGCGGCGAGGCGAGGTGTGCCCTCGGTGTAAGGAGTCCTTGGCCGAGGCGCCGCCGTACTCGAGCGCGTTTGTCAGCGCGGGGAGGACCTGCGGGAGATGAGGACCCGGGGAGAGGGGAAGAGTGAGGGTTCGGGTGGGGGCGAGATGGCGAGGGTGGACGCGCGGAGGGCCTTCCACTGTGCAGCTGGGCGGGGCATCGCCGGGACGCGCTCGGTGAGCTTGAGAAGAAGCGATCCGCGCGC